CCCTACCCCATCTTTACTAGTTAAGTTTTACTTATCTTTTACTTATCTTTACTATTGTTTTATTAATCTTTAGACATTTAGTTGACTCTGCTATTACTGTTCAATTCTTTTCTATTGTTAATGGTATTGTAGCTGTTGTATTTGGTAGATATTCATTGTATGTAAATATTTGGTTTGTCTTTGTATTTATGTTATAATTATAGATCTCTGTTCTATGGTTAAGGTTGGTACAGTGGTAGCTTTTATAGGTTCTTATATCAATATCCAGTTTGTCTTTTTTTTTTTTTTTTTGATACCAGGGATCGAACTCTGGACCTTGCACTTGCGAGGCAAGTGGCGGCACCACTGAGCTAAATCCCTATCCCAGTATCCAGTTTGTCTTTGACTTTCCTATTGTTGCTGATTTTGTTGCTATTGCCAGGGTGGCATAGTTGTTCCTATTAGATTGTTTCTTTTTTTATTATTGGTACTGGGGATTGAACTCTGGTCCTTGCGCTTGCAAGGCAAGCAGCGGAACCACTGAGTTAAATCCCCGGCCCCAGATTGGTTTTTACTGTATAGCAATATCTGGTTTGTCTTTGTGTCATTAACAATACTGCAGTTCATTTCTGGAGGACTGTGTGCTGGGTCAATTATGCTGGATCCTCCATCCCAAATTGATGAAAGTGATTAGATCTTGGGACAGAGGCAGAGACCTTGTCTAGAGTGCATTACTGAAAAGCAGACACTCTCTAAAGACATCTCCATACTTTCAAAAAATCTTTTACTGCCTGCCTGGCAAGCGCAAAGTCCTGACTTCTATCCTTGATACCAAAAAAAAAAATCTTTCCACTATACTTGACCCTCAAACCTCAGTGTGCACTGGCCCCCCATTAGGAACATGAGGAGACAAGGCAACAAAAACTCAAAACTCCCAAAAGTGATCCATGGAACATTAATGGGGAGGAACTCAAAAGCCAAACAGCTGAATTATATAAAATGATAAAAAAAGGGACAAAAAACCCCAGATCGATAAGGGCTCAGCAAGCTCAAAGATGATATACCTAATCAGATAATGAGTTTAATAAAGTAATCAGTGAACTTACAGAAAACACTAATAAAAAGCTAACTGGGCTAAACAAAACTATACAAAACATGAATGACCAGTTTAACACAGAATTAGAGTCCATGAAAAGGTATCAAATAGAAAACCAGCAAACAAAAAATGTTATTGAAAGTATGGGCAGCAGACGTGACCAGTGTAAGGACAACGTGTCAGAATTTGAAGATGGGTTAATGAATGCAGGTGATCATATACTTAGAGATACCGTAAAAACAACAAGAGGACACAGAAAATGTTCCAACAGCTTCTCGATGTTGCAAAGAAGACTAATCTAAGATTAAGTGGAACTAGTGAAAAATAAGGAAACAGTACAAATGTCATAAAAAACCTGTTTTCAGAAATAATATCAGAAAGCTTTACAGATCTGGGAAAAGAATTCAACATACAGATATATGAAGCACACAGAACCCCAAATAGCCATGATCAGAAAAAGACTCCAGAATACATCATAGTCAAAAACCCAGAGTCCAACACAAGGACAAAAATCTTAAAAGCTGTTAAAGAAAAGCTACAAATCATTTATAAAGGTAAACCCATTAGAATTACAAATGACTTCTCAACACAAACATTAAAGGCCAGGAGCTTGGAGTAAGGTGTTTCAAGCTCTAAGAAAACAATTTCCAACCCCCAACTGATATATCCTGCAAAAATATCTTTCAAAATTGATGGAAAAATAAGGTCTTTACATGACAAAGAGCACTTTAAGAAATTCATGACCACCAGGGCCGGGGATTTAGCTCAGTGGTTTCAAGCGCAAGGTCCCAAGTTTGATCCCTGGTGCCAAAAAAAAAGAAAGAAAGAAAGAAAGAAAGAAAGAAAGAAATTTATGACCACCAAATCATCACTCCAAAAAAATTCTCAAGGATGTACTAGAATGAGACAATGAAGCAAACACTGTCAAAGAGTCTAATGAAATGAATACACCAGGTAGGGTGAGTAGTTAAGGAGAAGGGAGGAATGAAAAAAATCAAACGGGAAAATAATGCAATGTCAGGAATAAGTCAGTGTCTTTCATTGATAAGTTTTAATGTGAATAGACTCAACTCCCCAATCAAAAGACACAGATTATCAGATTGGATCAAAAAGTAAAATCTAATGGTATGCTGTGTACAAGAAACACATTTAATAAAAAAAAATGCATAGACTAAAACTCAGGCCAGGGATTTAGCTCAGTGGTTTCGCCACCTGCTGAGCAAGTGCAAGGACCAGATTTCGATCCCCAGTACCAAATAAATAATAAAAAATAAAAAAATAAAAATCAAAGGATGGAAAAAATATCCCATGTGATGGGAACCTGAAAACAAGGAGTAGCTATCTTATTTTCAGGCAAAGTAGACTTGAAACCAAAACTGATCAGAAGAGACTAAGAAGGTCACTAAATATTGGGTAAGGAAACAATTCAACAGGATGAGATAGCTACTATAAACTTATATGCACTAAGCATTGGTGCACCCAGCTTCATAAAACAAACTTTACTAATAGACACAAAAAATCAGATAAAGCAGGGCATGTGACACATGCCTGCAATCCCAGCATTTGGGAGGCTGAGGCAAGAGGATTATTGTGAGTTTGAGACCAGCCTGGGCTACACAGTGAGTTCAGGGCCAGTCTGAACCACATAGTGAAACCCTGTTTCAAAAAAAAAAAAATGAGATAAACCTCAACACAATTATAGTGGAGGAACTGAATACCTCACTATCACAAATAGGTCAAGTATATAAAAATCAACAAAGAAATATCAGAGTTGAACCACACCATTGAACAAATGGACTTAATAAACATCTACAGAGTGTTCCGCCTAACAACAAAGTACACTTTCTTCTCAGCAGCACATGGAACTTTATCCAAAGTAGACAACATTCTAGTCCATAAAGCATGCTTAAGTAAATACAAAAGAATCAAAATTCTCCTATGCATATTTTTAGATTATAGCATAATAAAATTAGAAATCAATGACAAAAGAAACCATAGAAATTATGCAAACACATGGAAATTAAACAATACACTCTTGAATACTCAGTGGGTCACAGAAGAAATCAAGGAAGGAATTAGATAGTTCTTAGAATCAAATGATAATGCTACAACATACCAGAGCCTGTGGGACACAATGAAAGCAGTCCTAAGAGGGAAGTTAATAGTTGTGAATGACCACAACACAAAAACAGAGTGAGACCAAATAAATAATCTAGGGATGTAACTCAAGGTCCTGGAAAAACAAGAACAATCCAAATCCAAAGCTAGTGCAAGGAAGGAAATTATAAGGATCAGAGCAGAAATTAATGAAATTGAGACTAAAAAATAAAACAATCAATGAATCAAAGAGTTGGTTTTTCAGAAGAATAAACAAAATAGATAAACCTTTGGCTAATCTCACTGAAAACAAGAAGACACAAATCAATGCCATTAGAAATAAAAAAGACAAAATTACAATGGACACTGCCAAAATCCAGAAGGTTATTAGTAACTACTTGGAAAATCTATACTCCAATAAGTTGGAAACACCTTGAGATTACAATGTTAAGTGAAATAAATCAGTCACACAAGCTTAACTATCACATGGTTTCTTTTATGTGAAAAACCCAAAGTGTACATAACTTACAGAGCAAAATAAAAGATAGATGATAGGAAACAGGGAGATAGATCTTCTGCACATATGATGGGGACTAAGAGATGGAGATGGGGGGAGATAAGGGAGGAAAAGGGGATGAAAAAGAATTAAGATGTGTCATGTACATGTACCAGCTCCCCATGATGAATGTAATCATTATGTATTGAAGATATATACTAATAAAAAATTTTTTTTTAAATCAGGAAAATGACACTGTAGATAATTCTTTATCTTCCTTTTATGAAATGAAGGTTAAAACATCCAAAAATTCTTTTTACATTGGGTCCAAGAAACTCAGCTAAATCAAGTGTTTACTTACATCAGAACTTTCATACCAGGTGTCTGCGAACACTTATTTCTCTGCTCCTTTTAGCCAGTTTTTTAAAAATTTCAAAGTCAGTTGACTTGTTTTTTACTGTACAAAGTATGATCTAAAAATATGGTGAATGTTTAAATTTTTAAAAATATCTTACAGTAAAAGTCATATTGCCATTAATCCCTTTCAAGACACTTTAAACACACTTATCATTCTTGCCACTTTCTGAAGCAGATCTGGAAGTCCTTTTTCAAGTCTTTAGTTGTACTTTTGTGACTGCTTCACCAATTCAAAACATATATCTTTCATGGTCCTTTTGACTTTGAGGATGAGCCAGAAGTCACACAGTACCAGATTTGGTGAATAAGGTGCACAAGGACAGACCATCCTGTTTTTAAGAGCCCACTTTTCCTTTGGATAGCATGTGACAGCAGCATTTACTACATTTTTTATCAGACCTAAAGTTACTAGTGAAAGAGGACTTCTAGAACTGTTTCAGAAAGTGGCAAGAATGATGGGTGGGATAAGTAACTCAAAGAGAGGAGGAATATTTGAGAGGGATTAAGGGCAACATGTCTTTTACTGTAATAAAAATTTAAAACATTCATTGTGTATTTTGATCATACCTTGTATTTAACTTTTTTAAAACCTGAAAAGCCTTCATCTTTATAGCACCAAGGGCATATGGAATTTATTGGCATGTATGCCTGGCTTCCTTTCTTTCTATAGTTTAGCAAAATGCACTGTTTAATGAAGGGCTCAATAGATATTGAATTGATAATGAAAATTGAATTGAATATAACCAGAAGAGACCTATTTCTAGATTTTCCTTCTTTAAGAAAATTCTCTGAAGGAGATGACTGTGAACTAGCTCAGCCATGATTTAGGAGTGGGTTGAATTGGCATCACCTCAAATCTCATTCCTTTCTGGCTTGCCTGGCTCTCTCAGAAACACGCATCCACAGGGGACCTACCTCTTCTGCAGGCTTTTTCCTTTGGGGGGTGTGGAGTGTGGAAATGAATCTCCATTGGAATGATGAAGAGCTCAGTTGGAGGTTCATTGGCTTTAAATTGGCTCCTCAGGGGGTCAAGGACTCTGGGTAGCTGTTCCAAAATAGGAGGGAATTTCAAAGCCTTTGGTGCCTGAAGAAAATTTAAACACAAAAAATCAACATGGCAGGTATCCAACCCTGCTGCCTGCAGGGAGCAAAAGATATTGTATTTTATTGTATTTCTTGCACCAGGAGCTGCTGGGAGAAGCAAAACTAACCAAGCTGGGTGCTGAGTCCCTGCCTTTAGTGGTACTGCCTCACTTGGCTCTTGGGAACTCAACATATGCCCATTATTCCTGCCTCTGATTCCTCTGAGAATCATCAACAGAGGGCCGGGGATTTAGCTCAGGGGTGCCGCTGCCTGCCTCGCAAGCGCAAGGTCCTGAGTTCAATCCCTTTTACCAAAAAATCCCACAAAAACCATGAGTAACTTTTGAGTCTTTGAGAGGATAGTCTTTCTTTTATGACTAGGGAAAATGAAATGGGACTGAGATGATATAACTGAGTTCTCTACACCAAAAAGGAGAAATCTATGCTTATGTTGTAGAGAAAAAGCAAGGACATTTGACTGTGCAACGGATCAGGTAAGAAGGGGCAGGAAGCAAGAATTTGCATTTGTGTTTGCTTACCTTACATAACTTCTCACAGCCTCCATTTCTTCCTCTATGTAATAGAAATAATCATAGTTCCTACCTCCAAAAGTGATTCGGAGGGTTAAATGACTTTGTACATGTAGTTACGATAGTTTTTTTTTTCTTTTTGGACTCTTCTTTCGTTGGAGTTTAATAACCTTAGCTGGGTCCTAGGAGAAAAATCTAAAGTCCTTCATACTTCTGTAACATGAACATAGCTGGGGATAATTTAGCCCAGTTGTTTTCTGTCCCTGCCAAACACACTCACGTAAACATATATATTTACACACATACAGGATAGAGACACAAAAAGGGTAGTAATTAGAGCCTTCTGTTTCCAGTTATTTAGAAGTTGTTGAAAATTTCACTTTTCAGTTTGCAACTTCTAACATACGAACTTGGCTCTGTGAAGTGTGTATAGTGCTGAGTTTCAGAGAGTTTGATTTCATAGGAGGAAAAATGAAAACATTCTCATTTTCTCTGTACTCAAAAAAATGATAAAAGGCATACATAAGCATTCTACATGCTTAGAGTTGATTGAGGATGGAAGTTCTACCCAATTTGTGCAGGGTGATATTTATAACTTTGAGACATTAAGAAAATGATTAACCAAACACAGGCACATAGGATCTTTATGTTTCTCGAGATCTTAACTGTCCAGGTGTCGGCTGCCCACCAACAGCCCTGTTTTAAATACTGACCTTGTGCATTTTGTTTGACAAGGATCATATTGAGAAATCTGAGTGGAAACTCGAACTATTTGTGTGAAGTATGGCTGACAAGACTTAATATTCTTTATTCTCAGAGTTTTAATATACTATATTGGAGAATATTGCTTCCCTCTGTTAAGCAGACACAGGGGTTGAAGGAAGCACCTGGTTACCTATGATATCCAGGGCTTGCCTTAGGTCTGTGGTAACTCTGGGTATGTGGGGGTGAGGCTCAGGCTTGCTGTTTATTCCTGGTCCAAAGGAACCAGCTAAGACGAGGCCCTTCTGGTGTGGATGGAAAAGTTTAGATCAGCTGAGACACAGGAAATCTAAGAAAATCCTGAACAGACTGAAAACAACTTCCCTCATTGGCACCAAGACTGCCAGAGTGCCTATAGCTCTTTCAGGGGCACTTCAGGTGACCGGAATCCTCACAACTGATTAACATTTTGGTAGTGGACATAGAATTCTTTCCTAAAGGTACACTGTTGTTTTTCATTCTTCCATCAGCCATTTGAGGTTGGCATCTTCCTCCAGGCACACAGTAAGGTTACTATGGAGTGGCAGGCTTGCGTGACCTGTTCACTGTCACACAGCTGCTATGAGGCAGAGCATCCAGCAGGCCTGTGAACTCCCATTCAGCCCTGGTGCCACCAAACCACCCTACAACCCATGACTACGTAGAATTTCGAAGCAGGCTGAAGATAGCAAAGGACATCTCTTAAGAAAGAAGGTGATCTGACTTCTGAAGAGGGCTGATAAACTTGCAAACTCTAACCTACATGTGCAGAGGTGACAGACCTTTAATAGTGCACTGTTGCTGGATTCAAGTTAGCCAACATTTTGAGTTTGAAAGGGTCAACTGCTTAGCAGCTCAGATTCTGTCCTTCCATGTTTACAGAAAATCTCAAACCCTCAGGAGAACAAAGGATTCTGTTGCCTTTGGAGACAGTGGTGATAGTGTATGCTTTACAGTATAACTGACATTCCTTGTCCCTTGTGATTTTTAACATTAAATGGCTCTGATTCTATTCCAGCTCCACTGGTGAGCTCAGAAGCTGGAGAGGCCAGTTCTCTGTTGAGACATCCTTGTGAATCACCTCATTTCTAGTTTGGGATTAAACACACACACACACACACACACACACACACACACGCACACCTTTTTTTCCTTTGCTTCCCCAGGGGTGTTATGCTCTGAGGCAGTGACAGACACTACTGAAGGGAACAGGCATCTTTCAGCAGGAGGCTCTTGTAACAGGTGGCTGCCTCTAGCCTTGTAGAGTTTCTCGGTCCCTTGTTTGTCTGTAGAAACAGGATGGGTATGAGACACTTCTTAGTTGCAGGAATGGGGATGGATAGTTGACTTACAACTTTTATCACTTTTTGGTTAATGAAGGGAAGGAAATCAGGAACTGAGATGGCTGTGGCCTTGCTGAGCAGGGTTAGGGAGCCCAGTCTCATCATCTGGGTTGGGTTCTTACTGGCTGAGACAGAGGAGGGAGAGAATAACAATAACACCCAATAGGTATTGTGCATTAAATATGAGAAGAGAATTATGTAGCGTTTTATATGCATTGTGTTACTTCATCCCTATAGTAGTCATGTATTGGTATTATTGTCCCCATTCCACAGCGGGGGAAACAGAACCTCAGCAAAATTAAATGATTTGCTCAAGATTATAGTTAATAAATGGGAAATAATTTGAAACCAGGCATTCTGATTGCAAAATTTGCCTGGTGAAACACTAGGCAAATAGGAACCTGTGAGAATCTCAGTCTCATATTCAACTGGACTCTGGTTACTTTCTAAGGTGAGTAGCTTAAGGAAGTCCCTGTCAGCACGCTTGTGCTCTCAGATGAACTATACACCATGAGGTTCACCCTCATCAATGAATGAGACATTTGGTTCTTACTGCTTAGGTCTGTCTTCCGACTGGGGAAGGCGCCTCCGTAAGGTATAATGTTGGATTTGTCACCCAGAAGCCAAGAGGGACCTATGTGGGCACATCTGAGTGCCTTCCTGGAGGTTTGCTGTGTCTTTTCATTGTGGCTTTCCTCTGAAGCGTGAACAGGAAGGTGACTCTCTATTGATGTGTCCTAGGGAACGACATACACACAGAGCTGTAAACAGGCAGTCACAAAGGAGCAGAGAGCAGGTTCCTGTAAGCGTCAGTCTTGTGGCTAAACTCATGGTTCTAGGGATGAAATTTCCTCTGCAGGCTGAGAAGACAGGGCTATAATAGCAAGATCTCTGATGTTGCTTATTACTAGAAAATATTTTATGATTAATGATAGAAAGAATGACAGATAACTATACCTAACATACAATATTTTATTTAAAAAATTTTAAAAATAAAAATCAAGTGCTTGGATCATTGCATTTATCCATCATAAAAAGCATCTCTCCTCTCTCCTCCTCTATCATGTGGTCCTCTTCCCTTCTCTCTTACCCTTGGCATGTGACCTTCAATATCAAAACAACTTCATTCAAGATGGGAACAGATATTGTCTAGGTTGTTCTGAACAACGATTATCACACACCTTAGAGTTTAGAGAGCATTTCTAAAATTTAACTCATTTAATCCTCATGGTTACTTTATGAGATAAATATGATTAAAGCTCCATTTTACAGAAGGGCTCATTCAGGCTCAAAGCTAGTTAGGTCTTGGATAAGTTTATCACAATTAGTAAGAAGCAGGACTCAGACTATTACAGACAGCTAAGTTAGGCAGAAATATTACAGACAGTCAGATAGGGCTAGGCCCTTGAGAGATTCTGGACAAAGGTAAAACACATTACAACTGTGGCCAGAGATGTGTTCATTGGAGACTAGGCCTCAAGATAAAGATGAAATGACCAGGCCTGCATACTTTCCCAAAGGACAAGATAAACAGTAACACTTGGTTTTTTGCTCACTTCGGCAGCACATATATGCTAACACCTGGCCTAATGAAGTCTAGACAGACATCAGTCACCCCGGTGGGTGACCAAGACCTCCCAACCCATTACTTTCTAGCAAAAGTCTTTGTTCTTTCCATATGTACTTGTTATGTGACTTGTTTCCCTCTTGGATCACTATTACCTAAGCAACTATACTTGTAAACTTACTGGTTGATCATAGCTTTAACTCACATTGTACCCATGTGGTTTTTGTACCATAAAACTTCCTTTTAAAGTGGGGTCCTCGGCTATCCATTCGGGACCCTTTCTCTCAGAAGCTATCCTCTCAATAAATATTTCCTACTCTTAACCTCTGTTGTTCCTAGAATTTATTCTTGGATTTTAGAGAACACAAACTCATGTATCAGACATCTAACAGGTTAAAAATTATAATATTTCCCTTACATCATTCGGAAGTCCTATTTCATCTTCCATGTGATCCCTGTATCAAGACCAGGTCTAAGGCCAAAAGCTCTTTTTTCTAGACAAGTCTATATTTGCCCAGATGGGCAAAGGGTCAGGGGAGGCTCAGTAATTTGGAAAACCTGGAGTTAAATAGACTGAAGCTGGTGACTTTATTGTGGTACTTCTCAAAGTACCCCATATCCAGTTGTGCACTGGGAGGCCCTGGGAAGAGAATGCATATGCAGTATCTCCCCATTGTACCTGGCTACAAAACTCTTTTCTTCAAAGATCATCTGGTTCCACAGGTGACGCTTTAGGAAACAATGATCAACAGGGTCAAAGCACTTGGAGGACCCCTGGGTATGGTGAAGGGAGGGAGAATCTCTCTGAAGTCATGATGATGACAGAAGAGAGCCCGTTAGAAATGATACCTCTACCCAGTTTCCATCTTCCTGCCAGGGTTGCTTCCTGAGTGGCAGCAAAGGAGTCTCCTGACTGCCATGGCTCTTGGCTGTGGTGCCCTGGTCCATGTCTCCAACAGCCCCAGCTTCTCCTTCATCCGGGCCCTGCTGACCTACAAAGGTGAACAGTGGTCAGTTGGGAGCCCTAGCCACAGTCCCCTTCTAGCTTCTCTGAGCAGAAGTGGTCGAGGCCCCCCTCCCTCTGTATTCCTGACATTGCCTCCTTGGAAAAGGCAGCCAGGTGGAGGAACAGCTGTGCTGAGAGTCAGGAGACTCATGGTGGAGGCTTGTGTCTCTGACTCTGTTTCCTTGTCTGTAAAGTGGGGACACTGATTTCTGGCCCTATCTTCCTTGTCTAGAGCTCAAGTGAGATAATGAGTGTGACAGCTCTTTGTGAGCTGCCTGGGATTCGTGGATGGCAGTGGTGTGAAAGCGGCAGTGGCTCTGTGGTGCTTGCGATGTTCCATCTGAAGCAAGCTCTCCGGTTTCATGGGCATCTCCTGGTTGTTTACTTGGGGAGAAAACTCTGCTGAAAGCAGGGGTGTGGGACCCCTGCATAGCTCTCTGGATTTACCCTGTCTGCAACCCTTGGGCAGGATCTGAGTCAACAGATGACTCCACCATAGTTAACAAATCTTTCATCGATGGTTTAAAGGGTCCTGCAGCTATTTTCATCACTTACTTAAGGTAGATTTATTGCTGAAACAGTCTGGCAAGCCTTCTTCATTTGGAGCCAAGCTTTAGTAATACCTCCACTCCCAGAAAGCAGCTCCATGGAACAATGCGGGCTTGTATTTTAACCATGGGCTCTGAAAGCCTGGAGGGCCCTGTATGAGATGGAACATTGGATTCTGGAAGCTCCTCCTCCTTCCCCAGCCAGCCTCATCTTCCCTGTATGTTCCCCAACCTTCACTTCCTTCATCACCTCAATCTTTGTTGTCATTGGCTCAGGTGTCAAAGTGGCACATGGGGCCACTCCCTCCTTCCAGCTCTCCTGCTGGTCCATTGGCTCCTAAAGGCTACTCTGATTTGAATTGATGCCAAGAGTGCTGGCGGTTGAGACGGAGCCTCAGACTCAGGGTTAGAAGTCTGTCCAGGTTTTAGAGGCTCAGGGAAGCCTGATGGGCTCTGGAGATTTCTCATTCTGAGGTGTCCCTCAAGAAGATTGTAATTCCACACAGGGTGTAGCACTAAAGACCCTTGAGGGTATTCTAGAAAGATCCTTTGGGATCAAGCCAGACAGATCCACCCTTCCTGGTCAGACTGAGCTGGTACACTTCTCAGGGTGGAAAGTGAAACTCTAGCCAAATGGCTACTCACTCAACAGTCTTGCACATCAGAGCGTCTATGTGGGGCAGGGGGCATTGTGGGTGAGGGATCTAGAGAGGTACTCTAGGGCCATATTCCAGGTGAAATTAACTGTGTGACTCAATCTACGTGAGAGTAAACAAGAATTCTTTCTCAGTAAATGTCATCTTCTTGCTCAGCTGTTTATGCTTAGAAGAAACAGGCTTGCAGGAAAAGTATTGGAAGTTTCAGTTGTTTAGAGGAGGGCACAAAACTTCTCCCTGTATCTCAAATACTGGTTCAGATCATCCAGATAATGTGCATTGGGGTAGCAATTTACAGCTTTCATGGGGAATTTTTCCTCTGTCCTCTCCTGTGATAGGGAGGAAGGAATGTAGATCCAATTGCCTACATTTTACAGGTGTGTAATCTAAGGAGACAGGGAATCTAAGCAACTTGCCAACATCTCACTGTTGGAGAATCTGGGGTTCACGGCCAGGACTTTTGCTATTTCTCCAGATAAAGTGTTTGGCAAAGAGAGATCAAAGGGAAATAAAATTAAAACCAATGGAAACATCAGTCAAGTTTCGAGTTACAGCCTCTGAGCTCCATTTATTTCTTTAAAAATTGATTTTTTTGGCTCTTGCAATCATGGACAATTGGATATTGCAATCAGTAATTATGTTTAGAAAACAAAAGGTGGGGAGGTACAAAATTAACATTTACTGAGCACTTACTATCTGCCAGCTACTACATTATCCTATTTAATTTCCACACACAACCCTGTGAAGTAAAGGTGGTATCCTTATCTCCATTTTATAAATGAAGAAACTGGGGCCCAGGGAAGACTTATGGCTTGGAATTTGCTCACATGCTCAAGCAGTACTCTATACTGCCCTTCTGTTTTCCACCTTATTATGACAGTTCCTTGGTAGATGGCACTAATTAGAGAATTCACTGATCCCTTAGGCATGTAGTACCCCCCCCCCCAAGCACTACAATCCCCTTTCCAGTATTTTAGGGTCTAAGGATATTAGCTGGAGACAGTAGGGCTTTTGAAGAGAGAGGACAGAAGGCCATGGTGAAATAGCATGCCACCCGAGGAAGGGCAATGTGTTATAGGTGATTCTGGCCCAGAACTGTGATTTCCTTAATGCCCCAGAATCAAGTGGTTAGATTTTTGAGCCACATTAGCAAAGTACGTAGATACTAAGGTATAGACCAGAATATTAATTTATGAAAGAGGAAAAGAGTTACCTGACCAACATGTTTTAAAAACAATAATCTATACATGGGCCAGGTTGTGACTAGAATTCTCTGGTCCCAGACTTGAGGCCCAGGTACAAATGACTGGGATGTTTGATGGTGCCCAGCTTTGTTTTCATTCTGCCAATAATCTAGACTCTCTGCTTATCCGGACCATATCCATTCTCCCAAGGACAAGGAGGACATGGTCTGGCACTGCCATTGTTTCTAGAAAATTCTTTCTTGATTTCAGAAAAAAATAACTTTATATTATGTTGGGGTCTTGTTCTTTTCTTTTCTCAAGATTTCTGTTACCAGCCAAGACCCTAGTCTTTGCCCATTACTGCTACCTATCATCTTTCCCAGCTTACTTACCAAAGGGAACTCCTGGCTCTTTTAATGCTTCAAGTTCCCAAGAATAATAATGACAGGTAAAATTCTCATAGTATAGAATTTTTACAATTCCAATAATTTTCTGTGCATTACAAGGTAGGTCTTACTGTGCCCATTACAGAGATGAGCAAACAGAAGCATGAGAAGAATGAGAGAACAACCATTGCAATACAGATTTCTGGTGTAAAGGCAATATTTTTTTCCACATGATATTGCCACAAACATCATAGGATTAAAGAATATTCAATTGGAATAGATCTAAGGAATCACCTAGTCTATAGGCATACCACTCTGAATATGCCCAATCTCGTCTAAGGAATCGCCTAAAACCTAGGTCTAAAGTCTAGACCTCACTGTTCAATACACTAGCCACTAGTCATGTGTGACCAGATTAACTATTAATGAACTAAAATAAAATTCTTGGTTTCACAGTCACACAAGCCACATTTCAAGTGCTTACTAGATATGTGACTAAATGATTACCATATTAGCTAGCACATATATACATTCCATCATTTCAGAAAATACTGCTGGACAGTGCTGGTCTAGACTAGCCCCCTCATTTTTTTTTTTTTTTTTGTAGCTGGGATCGAACTTGGGTCCTTGCACTTGTGCAGCAGGTGGTGAAACCACTGAGCTAAATCCCCGGCCCTATCCCCCTCATTTTACAGAAGAGAACAACTGGAATTCCTAGACCTTATTTTAGAAATCTCTATTTTTAGCTGTAAAAATAAAAATATTTGAAAACTACTCATAAAATCAGCATGTACCTTGTCCAAAAGATTTTCCTTGTTGAAACCAAAATGGTGGGAAGACAGGCAGGAGATGGTATTTTGGAGGTGCACCTGAGAGGTCTTGTTGCAGCCTGAGATTCTTTGGCACATTAGATTGAGCATCGTGGAGCAGCACAGAATCCTTGATGTATCCTTGAGGGTGGGTTCAGAGTTATTGGTGGAATTAGTCTTGATTTTGTACAGTGCCCATTAAGAAAGACAATAAGAATTCTTAGAGCTCATTAATAGACAACCCAATTAAAATGTAGACATAAGAAGATGATAAATAGCCAGTATAGCACCAGGAATGGTGTGCAA